CACGCACGCAAGCAATTTATAATGTGTATAAATATTTATTTAATAAACAAATAGATGAATAAATAAATAAATAATAAATAAATAAATAAATAATATATACGCAGGCCTGTGTATGGGTATACATTATCATCATCAAATGCAAGATCTGCGTCAGACATCGGCGATCATGGTTCTCCATTCATTCCTTTGCTCGGGGCTCTTAAAAAAGCTACGTTATCCTGATCTCTCCCCGTTACCCATCTGTTTAGGTTCTCTAAATAGGTTGCTCTGGGTCTACCTCTGCCTCGTTTGCTTTCAATTTTGCCAGTCAAAGCTAGATGTTCGAGACCTTCTTGCCTATTCATTAGTCCAAAAACTGCATTTAATTTTATTTGTCTTTTCCTGACTGTTTTTAACCGTGAGCGTCCCACGTGGGCTTCATCAAGTACTACCTCTTTGATGTCTTTTCCTTCCGCGACTCATCAGTCTCCTAAGAAACCACATTTTTGTTGTTTATACATTATAATAATATATTATTGTTCACTCCAATATTTACCTACTTTTCCATCGCGTAAGTTGTCAAACTATTCCATGTTATGGGAAACAGCAGAAGTCTCGTATTTTATCTCTGAAATGACTGATGGCCTGTGGCCCTGATATCCATAGCATATACACGCTCTGAGAGAACAATGTCATGTAATTTTTTGAAAAAAATGCTCAAGAAGACTTGGATCCTCTTTTTCAATTTCTTCACAAACAGGAAAGAAACGTCGAAGGTGTTGTGCTAGTTTTTCTCGAAACCAATACAAAACACAGTAAAAACACAAGCTACTTATGCCAGAACTTCGTTTGTTGTTTTTACAACGTCCTTACTACCGAACACCATCTGTTAATCTGAGTGAATCAAAAGGTTGATAAAACTGAAAGTTGATCGCTGTATGGATATGGATTTTCTCAGTGCACGGTCACATTATGTTAAACTATACTATATAAAACCGAGTCAGAACTAATGAAAAGAAAATCACAAGCGAGCCTCGTTCAGGGTCGTGTCCTGTCTCTAGATTTGTACGCCGACGTAACACCTCTGAACTGCAGGAAATAATATGTTTCGACAGTTATATGGAAAACAACACACTTTAATATATGTGTCACGACACAGTGAAATCAGGCTCTCGTCAGTTGTGGGGCGTACAGAATTTTTGGTATAATCTTAAATCCTGTTTATTTCTCTTACTTTAAATGAAAAGAAATACCCATTTATCTTGAATAGAAGTCGATATATTTAGCTTTTGAAGGAGGTGGGGGTCGCCTAATGTCAGAAGTAAAATGA